CCCTTCTGGATAATGCCATTGGCTGTTTCTGTCACATCTGTCATCTCAACCGGAGTCTCGTCCTTTTTCAGAGCTGTGATTCGGTCCTGTGGCATGGACTCTGCAAATCCACACTTTCCACCGGCCTTCCTGTATTTAAAATACGCATTTTAAATACAGGAACACAGGAAAATACACTGTTTTTAATTTAGCTTCGAAAATGATTCTAGTTTAAGACTGAGGTTTGGCAGTGAGACTAAGTCTCTGCTCACCTGGCTTTCCTGTCATTCAGCAGGGCTTCACTGATGAGCTCTGTGATCTCAGACACTTTGACACCAGCTATCTTACTGCACCTCATCACCTTCAACAAAACACAGAAAAAGATCTATTGCTCTGATAAAGAATTATTGTACTGAACAGTTATTTCACCAACATATCAGCCAAGTATCTGTTAATTTTAGAGTAAGCAAAAAAAAATCATTTGGGCCTTGTAATATTTCACTGGCAGAGGGATGAACTGATTCAATTATATTCCAGCAGATTTTGGGAGCGGCCTGTTTCAAACAAAGCTGAAGATCAGACAACTGGACAAAGATCTTAATTAAACCTCATGAGGTTCTGCCATGATGTCTACAGACCTCTGTGGCCTAATCACAGAAAACCTGTGGACAGACCTCAGCGGGGAGTGTATGCAACAACATTTGCAGGACAAATAGTTGGAAAACTCCAAACAAGAAAGACTCTGCTGCTGCAGATACCTTCAGCACATGTCATATCTCCCATTCATAAGTCCTCATGAAACTTTGCATTTTGAGAAAAACAAAATAGAATTAATTTCTTAATTTATGCCTTTTGGAAATCAGCCCATTTTCACTCACTCACAGTAACAAAGAGCTTTTAAGGAGCTCACCTGCTCTTTAAGCAGCATAATGCCTCCGCTGGACTGGATGGAGCAGATCTCCCTGTGTTTGTTCATGGCGATTACCAACAGGCCATCCATCACTCGCTCCTCCCGCTCACACGGGTCCACCAGCAGGTAAGTGCTGCAGAGAAACAATGAGGAAGGTTAATGTTCAAACAAGTGGTCACCTGCAGGTACTCAGAAGGTCAGCAGAAAATAAGAGGACTGTTTTAAGAAAACAGCCCGAGATCAGTTAAGTTACTCCCCTGATCGCCTGCATCTTACTACAGTTAAATGCTGAGGCTGGATCAGGTGACCCTGAACACGCACTCAGTTGTGCCGCTAAAGTCAAATTTATATTCACTCTCACTGGCAAATTTATTAGGTACACCTCGCCAGTATCAGGTTGAGATGATCTGAGTTTTACCATGTGTGCACTGATCATAAACATGTTGAGCAACAACCCTCAGGCAGGCTGTGGAGTTGAAACAATGCACATTTGTTCCTGAGGAACCCAGAGTTTCCCAAAAAAAAGGTCCCTCATAATATCACACCATCACAGGCAGGGTGGATTCATGCTTTCACATCGTTTACCCCAAATTCAGTTGCTATCATGCAAATGTCACAGCAGAAATCAAGGTGCTGTTTTTGCATGTGGGAAAAGAAGATCAGCAGTTTCTGAAATACCCTGGCCCGTGTAACACCAGCAACCACGGCACTGTCTTCATGCCTCAATGCACTGAGCTTCCCCTCACTCCCCAGCTGGTCGTGGCAGGCTAATGAGGGCTGCCCCACCACGAGTTTTGTTCTGGTGGAGGTCTGAAGTGACTCTCTATAAACACTACTGAATATACTGAGTTAACTAAAACCTGCTGCACCTGTAAACATGACATTAACATTTTGATACAGAGGAGAAGAAATCTTGTGAGAAGCAGTGTTTTACCCTTGTTGGAAGAAGGCGAAGCTGACGCTGATGGGCATGTGGTAGATACTCAGAGGAATGGGGTCTCTCTCCTCTGGACTGTACTGAAGACAGAAATT